CCAGTTACCTGCTGTAGTACTTGATTTTATTTACCAACCATCTAAAATGAGTTTTCACACATTTTTATATTTTTTTTTTCCCTTTTTCCAGGGTCTGCCTGTTGCTCTGGAAAAGCACATTCTTGGATTTGACACGGGAGGTGAGCACTGCTCCTAATGTGACTTTTAAATGGGAATGTTTGCCTTTGACAGAGTTATTACTGTCAAATCCAGAGCTGATGTGGACAGTAAAAAACTCTGGAGTGGAAAGAATTCCTCCCTCCCAGCTGGTTATTTATGAGCACTCCTGAGCGTTTCTGGGGGTTGGAACAGCAAAGCCTAAATCCTAAAAACCAGCCTGAAGCTGTTTGGAATCTGTTTCAAAACCAGCTTTTAATGGCATCCCAAGGAATGCATCCCGCTGTTTGTAAATCCTGCTGCTACCAGCAGAGGACAGCTGTGCTGCTTCCATTTCCTTCCTCTTCCTGAAATCACCCCAAATCCCCCCAAAATGAGCCCAAACCTCCCCAAATCCACCTGAAACTACCCCAAACCCCCCTGAAATGACCCCAAACCTTCCTGAAATGACCCAAATGGTCCCCAAAATGATGCCAAATTCCCCCAAAATGACTCCAAATCTGCCTGAAATGACCCCAAATCTGCCTGAAATGACCCCAGATCTTCCTGAAATAACCCAAATGATCCCCAAAATGATGCTAAATCCACCCCCAAATTACTCTAAATCTGCCTAAAATGGCCCCAAACCTTCCTGGAATTGCCCCAAATCCCCCCAGAATGACCCCAAACTTCCCCAAACCCCCCTGAAATGACTCCAAATCTGCCTGAAATGATCCCAAGCCTTCCTGAAATGACCCAAATGATCCCCAGAATTACTCCAAACCCCCCGAAAATGATCCCAAACCTTCCTGAAATGACCCCAAACCTTCCTGGAATGACCCCAAATCCCACCAATATGATCCCAAGCTTCCCCAAACCCCCCTGAAATGATCCCAAACCCCCCTGAAATGATCCCAAACCTTCCTGAAATGACCCAAATGATCCCCAAAATTACTCCAAATCCCCCCAAAATGACCCCAAACTTCCCCAAACCCCCCTGAAATGACCCCAAACCTTCCTGAAATGACCCCAAACCTTCCTGAAATAACCCCAAATCCCCCAAACTTCCCCAAATCCCCCTGAAATTACCCCAAACCTTCCTGAAATGACCCCAAACGACTTCAGATCCCCCCCCAAATCCCTTCTGCTGCCTCTTTTTTCCTAAAATCCCATCGAGGCAGCTCAAGTTGGCATGGCATGATGGATTATTGATAAACTTGATGGATTATTGATAAACCTGATGGATTATTGGTAAACCTGATGGATTATTGATAAACCTGATGGATTATTGATAAATCTGATGGATTATTGGTAAACCTGAAGGATTATTGGTAAACCTGATGGATTATTGATAAACCTGATGGATTATTGATAAACCTGATGGATTATTGATAAACCTGATGGATTATTGTTAAACCTGATGGATTATTGGTAAATCTGATGGATTATTGATAAGGACCAGCCAGGTGATCTGGGGCTCCACTTCTGCTCCACCTCACTCAAATCAGTGCTTGGAATGTTTCACACCACCCTTGGGGTGGGAGGTTGGAATGAGATGATCCTTCAGGTCCTTCCAGCCCACTCCAGCCTGTGATTCCCTCATTCCCTGACCCTGGGCTACAGCAGGGTTGGGAAAAGTTTGGAGATCAAAGTCAGTTGGAGCAGGGAAAGTTGTTCTCTGTTCCCAGGCTGGAAAACCACCAGCAGGAACAACATGCAGGGCATTAAAACTTCCTTAAATCCCTCCTGTGAGCTGGAAATGATGGAGAAAACAGTGGATAAAATTCCAAGTCCTCTCTGTGCCTTTCCCCAGACGCTGTTATCAACGAAGCCGCCCAAATTCTCCGCCTGCTGCACATCGAGGAGCTCCGCGAGCTGCAAACCAAAATCAACGAAGCCATCGTGGCTGTCCAGGCCATCATTGCTGACCCCAAGACTGACCACAGACTGGGAAAAGTGGGGAGATGAAGGGACAAAAGCTTTGTAGCTTTTTTTTTTTGCTTTTAGTGCAATTTAGGAACCACGTACAGCTCCCGGTCTGGCATGCAGTTCGAAACGGGATTAATTCGCCTGTTTGGAAAGCAAACAGGAAATTCTGACTTCTGATGAATTACCAGGGGTTTTTTTGTTTTTTTTTCTTCTTTAAATAAATGAAATTGAAGGAAACAAATAGTTCTGGTGAGCTCTGAGTTGGCAAATAGGATTTTTTTTGTG